AGTCTCCTCGGAGGACTTGCGCGCCTACAGGCTGGGGTTTGGCACTTTTATAGAGCAGAAGCAGGGTACAGAAGCAGAAGCGCGGTTATTGGTTAATTCAAAAACACACAGAGTAATTTCAAAAGCATACAGAAATATGGGGTAAGGGCCGGGGCTAAGGGGAAGTGGGATTGCTAAATGGGAGGTGACCTCAGGGACACAGATGAGACCACTGATTTCCTGGTATCGGGCCCTGAGGGTGGTCAGATGTTCTGCCCATAAGACTTGTTTACGGTTTGATCCTTGAAGCTTGACCGGTGCCTGCCTGTCCTGCAGCTTTTAGATAAGGCTGGTTCTGACTTCTGGCTGACAATTTTAAATAGGTGGGCTTGTAGCGCCTAGTTTTCTCACATATAATTGAATTTTGATTTTTATTTCTTAGGTTTTAAAATTTTTCATGATTTGTTTTTATGTGTATGAGTGTTTTGCCTGCATGTGTATAAGTGCACTCATGTTGTGCAATGCTCATAGAGGCTAGAAGAGGATGTTGGATCGACTGGAATTGGAGTTACAGTTGTTAGCCGTCATGGGGTTGCTGGGAACTGAACCCAAGTCCTTTGCAAGAGCAGCTGGTGCTCTTAACTGCTGAGCCATCTTTCTAGCCCCAGATCTTGATTTTGAATGCATTCTGCCAACCTATACAGTTTGATTGAGAAGTTTTAATCCACTTACATATACTGTGATTGCCCACAAGGAATGCCATCTTTTCAGCATTTTCATTACTTTTGTTTTCTGTATGTCTTGAAGCTTTTTTTGTCTTTCATTTCCTTCTAAATGGTTTTCCACTGACACACTTTGATTCCCTTTTTTACATTTCCATGTGTGCCTGTAGTCTGTGGAGTGTGTGTGTGTTCACATGTGTACATGTATGTGTACTATGAAGATTACATATTCCATCCCAAAGTTTTAATTATTTTGAACTGATACCAACTTAGTTTCGTTATTAAATTGTATTCTCTTTTTGAGCCCTTGGTACACACCAGACACTGCATTAAATACTCTATATTTACTTCATTTGAATCCTTTCAGTAACCTGAAATGCAGGTATTGCTCTTGGCATGGCATAAATAAGGAAGTGAAAGCACAAGAGAGTAATTAACTAATCCCTGGGCTTACAGCTGGGAAGTAGCAAAGCTGGAATTCCATTCAGGTCTGTCACCCCTCCCATGTCACACCCTGCCCAGGAACAGTCTGAGCTGACATTTCCTCTGCACCCACCAGATCAGGTGTGGAAGCCACATGCTTTTGTTTAAGCTTGTAGCTCACTAGTCCCTTTCCAAAATAAGGAATTAATGACTTTTTTATCTGACATTTACCATGGGTGTTATACGCTAACATGGAAGCCCAAGAATATAGCACAGAGCTAGGCTTAAACTGTATATCTAAAAGTACTAGTTATCTGAAGTTTAACGTGACCAAGTTGTGGTGGAAATTTTTCTTTAAATTGTATAATGTTTTCCAATAATGAAGCAAAACGTGGAACTGTTCATTCAAGGAATATGCAGGAAAAAAAACTACTGTATGTTGGAAGGTCTGTTTAAGGAATGCATTTTTTTCTCCTGCTAGTCTGCTGCCAGAAACATTGATTGGGAATATGTGCTCCAGTCACTTACTGATATTTTACCGACAAATTCTTGGAGATGTGCTGTTAAGAGACAGGATGAACCTGCAAAGTGCTGGTAAGGAGTCCCGGTCATTTCCCCATGTGTATTATTGCTCCTCCCTTGAAGACAGGTGCCCTGTACCAGCCTGTGTCTTCTGCCTACAAATGTGGCATTTGGAATAAAATATTAGAACAGCATCAGGGTCAGTGCATCCCCTGTGCTGACTTTAGATGCAAAGCGTTGGGCTTTGTGAGCCAGATGTATATCAGCTCTTTCACGTTTACTTGCTCACATTTTAAATTCTGGAGGCTTGAGATCTAAGCCCTACATGTAATCAGAGTCTTTCAGTCCCTCAATAATCTGATTTCCCCTGCGTAGGATGCATGTCATTTTTTTCAGGAAGAAAACAGAACCATCCCAAATAACTAGTTCTTAGTGTAATAAAGTATGTCAATGGGTTAGTTACAAATCAGCAAATCAAAGAGCATTCTAGTTTCTATGCGGTGTTTTTATTCTTAGGATTTAAATTAATTTTTGTGTGTGTGGTGTTTATATGTGTGTATGCATGTTCATGTGTATGTACATTGGATGCATGCACATGTATGCACGTGTATGTGGAGACCAAGGTTGATGTTGGTAGTCTTCCTTGGTCTCTCTCCACCTTATTCATTGAGGCAGGGTCTCTCAGTTGAGCCCAGAGCTCCTCCTTATGGCTAGTCTCCAGCTTGCTCCTGGGACTCCCTGTCTCTGCTGGAATTATGGGCAGGCTGCCTTGCCCATCTGGCATTTACGTGTTCTGGGAATCTGAGCTCTGGTCCTCACCTTGTATGACAAAAGATTTAGCCACTCAGCCATCTCCACAGTCCTTGTAGTTTCCTATTTGTTAGTGTGTTCGTTGTTTGTTTGTTTGTTTTGAGACAGGGTCTTCCCATAGTTCCAGCCAACCTGGAGCTAACTATGTAGACCAGGCTGGCTTCGATCTCACAGAGATCCACCTGCCTCTGCCTCCCAAGTGCCGGAACAAAAGGTGTATACCATCATGCCCCTCCCCTTGTAGTTTCTTTTTGAAACTTTTTTCCAAGCAAAATGTTAGAAAATAACTTTAAAAATTATCAAGCTGTCATACATGGATGGACTTGCCAGTAGAAATGCATGTGCTGTAAGAGTTTTCCCCCAAAGTAAAATGTTAATTCTGTTGTATATCACCTGACTTTAAGACATCAGTAAATATCTAGATAGGTACTGTCTGCTGTGTGTCAGACGTAGTACTATGGTATGACAAATGAGAAAAGAGCAGCCAGGCTGCAAAACAAAACGACATGAGTACCTCCTCCAGCCTTTTAGAGTAAATGCTCAGAAGGAAAATAAACAGGGAAGCAGCACAAAAAGACCTGAATTCATATGTCGCAAGAGGAGAGGCTTCTATGTGCAGATAATATCTAAGATAAAACTTGAATGAGGAATCAGACACAGGGAAGTGTGTGGAGATTGTCTTTTCTGGATAGAGGGACCAGTGTGCCTGACGACCCAAGACAAGAAAACACTTGGGTTGGAGAGATTTAAATTGAAAGCAGGCAGGTATGGATGCAGCAGAGGGACTGAGCCTGGCAACGCCTCAGGCGGTGGTATCTCAAGTGGTATTCCTAGTTAGATAGAAGTCCCTACTCAGAATCTTGTCCCTAGGAAAGTGGAAGAAATGGAACTCAAAGTCAGAGCTGCACAGAAAGTTCCAAAGTGGAGGGACTGTTCCTCTAGTGGAGGGAGAGTTCAGCTTTTAACTACCACTTGCCTTTGAGTATAATGACTCAAAAACCTTCACAAGTGGCACACTCAGGGGGAAGATACAGCCAACCTGCAGTGATACTGCACTTGCCATTTCGGAAGCATCTGCTGTGGTTTGAATGTGTCTCTTCCAAAATTCAGGTGTTGCTGTCATGATTTTATTAAGAGGTCTTTGAAGCCAGGCGTGGTGGCGCACACCTTTAAGCCTTTAATCCCAGCACTCAGGAGGCAGAGGCAGGTGGATCTCTGTGAGTTCAAGGCCAGCCTGGTCTTCTTGTCCCTAGGAAAGTGGAAGAAATGGAACTCAAAGTCAGAGCTGCACAGAAAGTTCCAAAGTGGAGGGACTGTTCCTCTAGTGGAGGGAGAGTTCAGCTTTTAACTACCACTTGCCTTTGAGTATAATGACTCAAAAACCTTCACAAGTGGCACACTCAGGGGGAAGATACAGCCAACCTGCAGTGATACTGCACTTGCCATTTCGGAAGCATCTGCTGTGGTTTGAATGTGTCTCTTCCAAAATTCAGGTGTTGCTGTCATGATTTTATTAAGAGGTCTTTGAAGCCAGGCGTGGTGGCGCACACCTTTAAGCCTTTAATCCCAGCACTCGGGAGGCAGAGGCAGGTGGATCTCTGTGAGTTCAAGGCCAGCCTGGTCTACATAGTGAGTTCCAGGACAGCTGGGGCTACAGGGAGACCCTGTCTCAAAAAGACCAAAAAAGAGGTCTTTGAGAGGTAACCAGTCGAGAGCTCCCCTTGACTTCTGTGGACTGGTTTAGGTACCTTTATAGTGGGGCTCACTGGAGGGAATTCCTCATGCTTGCCTTTACACTGTCCCCTCATACAAGGACATTGCATTCTCCTCTATGGAAGGCCATGTGGCCATCCTCACTAGTCATCTCATTCCAGAACTCTCTATAGAAGATGGAGAGACACAGAGAGATTGCAGGGGACAGCTTTGAGCCTTCCTGGAGGATAATGTGTATAGAAAGTATCAGCAAATAATTGCCATGGTAATTTTAATCCAAATGAATATGCTTCAATCTAGTGCAGTAAAGAAAGAATGAAATTTACATGAAATTCTTCATGTTGTGTATTTCAGATTTAATTAGTCATCCACTGCTGGCCACCTTCCCCAAGCTCATGGAGCAGCCTGACCTGATGGATGCTCTCAGGGTAGGTAGCATGCATGTGATGGTGGCCTGGAGGCTTCTGAAGGTGGTTTGTGTAATGAGTTTTGTCACCTGCTCTAGGCTTTGTTTTTTCAGTCTCTGATATTTCTCAATCCTTGTCTATCCATTGTCTAGCTAACGCAGCCTCATCCTCCCAAGCTCATGTGAATGTTACTTCCCAAGGCTGCCTTCCCTGATGCAAAGGCAGTTGGAGTGACTGCCAAGTTCACCATTGCACTCCCCTGCCTCTTTGTCCCTCAATGTAAGATGGCCATTGATGGTGTTGTAAGAGAGAAACTCCAGAATGCTCTGTTTGGTCAGTCAGTTGAGTTCTCAGGAGAGAGTGGGGGTACACATATCTGTAATTTAATTTAGCATATACTGTGCTGCCTGGAATAGCAGCCAGATAGTAAGGTCAAGAGCATGAAATCTAATTTTTAACTGACTTTGAATTTCCAAAAATCTCTGTTTCACATGCCTCAACCCGACAAATCAAAGTCAACAAATACAGAAGACCTATATCCATGCCACATACAGACAGCATGGCAGATGCCCAGGAGAGGTACAGTCCAGGGCCTCAGAGACTTAAGGAGGGCAGCAAATGAGGACCAGGACCCTGTCTCATTGGCGTCCTAGATGAGATGAACCTAACAAAGGGCTGGAGCTACATATAGCCCTGCCGACAGGGGTGCCATCACAGGTGTGGAGATGGGCAGAAGCAAACATTTTGAGGCAAGAAGGATTTGAGTATTGTTGAGAAAAGCAGATTGAATTTGGTATGATGCAAATGAGGGTTTGGAGGGTGAGGAGGGCAGGAAGTGGTGGGTGACCCAGAGGTTTGGCAGGAGGCTGACTCTTCCGAAGTACAGAGATGTAGGACAGCAGCGTGTGCAGGAAGAAGGTGACTGTATCTGGTGAGTCTTGCTATCAGAGGGCATGGGGCAGGGGGTGGGGTGGAATGGACATGGCCCCTTTTACAGGCCCTTCGTCTAGTAGATAAAAGTATTTTAAAACAGACTGAGAGGGGAACTCAAGGACAATTTGATTGTGCTTTGTAAGAGAAAGCAGCAGGGCAGGCAAGCTGGGGGTCTTGGCAGCTGCCAAGCTGAGGGAAATGGAAGAGGGACAAAGTGAATCAGATTGAGAAAGCAGGCTCACCACAGAGGACCGGGAAGCAGGCTGGGTAAGGTGTTTTCAGAGAGAGTGAGAGTACCAAGTGTCAGGGCAGGCTGGTTTAGGTTTGGGGCCAGCATTAGGGAAGGGGAGATGGAGAAGAAAAAGAGAACGTTCCTAGAGTGAGGAAATAGACATCTTGGGGGACAAAATGGACACCCTGAAGAATCAGGTGCCCAGAGTCTTTGTTCCTTTTAGTTTTCTAAAGGGGCAAAAATTTGCCCTCTGTAAGAGTGAGAGCTGTGCTCCACCCTTGCACTTTTCCAAGAAGAAAATATTTAACTTAGTATTACTTGGTTTAGACTTGTTGCCAACTGCAAGTTGCTCTAGGTGGTCTAGAATCCAGGATGCATGTATGGAAGGAATAATGGCTGACTGCATACCATCAATTCACAGCCCCTGCAGTTGGTTCATCCTCAGCCCCACAGTTAGTTATCAGTACTGTGGGTCTTTATCACTTACCCAAGGCCAGTGCTGGCTTATTTTTAATCTAGCCATGGAAGGCCAGAGTTTAAAAATGAGTCATAGGTTACTTGGAACTTTTCCATTATAGTATTTTAAAATCCATCTCCTCTTCAAAACCTATAATATGCAGTCTATTGGAAGGTTATGCCACTGGCTATGCCATTTGTCTCAGAAGAATCCGATGTATTGATACTTGTGTCTTAGATATTTGGGAGACACGTGGCTGCCGAGTCCTTTTACTCACTGTCTTCCTGCCTCATGCCTCCTGTCATAGTCCTTTCGGTGGAAATGGAAAGACCTGGTCATCCACAGAGGTTTACAGTAGATGGAATTGATTCATGTCCTGGCTTGGCTGGGGTAGGAGCTTCCATAGTAATATGGACCTTTTCATCAATAGGCTTGAGAAATATTCATAGGGTGTGGTCACCTATGGTTTTTAAAGGTCATTGGTATAGCTAGACACTGCAGTGCTTGTCTTCCATCTTCCCTTCTAAAGTCACTGGTATTGCCCTTTTTACTTACTATTCAGAATATGTTAAATTCATTCAGCAAAGATTTCAGCAGAGCCTGTCCAGATAAGGCCCTGTGCTAGCCAAAGTCACAGAATCAGGCACCATGATCTCATGAGGCAGAAAAATAACGGTGAACATGCCAAGATCTCACAATCACCCATCAGCACATCCTTTCTTATGGGGAATCTCTGTCTCAGCATCACATGTCCTTAGGTACCCAGCGGCCACCCAACCCAGGAAGGGCTGGTATTTTGGCACCAATAGGCAAATACCTACAAACCCACACCACAGCAGTCCTAGAACAGTCAGCCCTAAGACTGGGCAAATTCCACCCAGCCTTACAGTCCTCCAGGGACTGGCTCTGTCAAGGTCTTTAGTTCATACCTCTGTGGGATTTATTGAACTCTGGGTTCTTTGTTTCTTTAAAGAAGCTGTGTGAAGCCTGTGGACAGTCTGGAAATACTTACTTGCAGAACAACTTCAGTCTGTGTGCCCCCAACCGCTTGTCACCGCGGCAGGCAGAATCACTGACATGCACAGTACTTGGCAGGGCTTCCTGTTTGTGTTGCTGTCTCACCTTAGTTCATGACTCAGTGTCCAGGCACCATGTGCCATTGGCATGGATGTTAAGTTTCATCAATTCTCTTCATAAATTAGTTTTGTCTTATAATAACCATGGCTTCTGCGGAGTCCTTCACAGAAGCATCTGCCCTGACAGGCTGGTTCTGGGTTGCTGGCAACAGATGCCAGTGAGTGTTGCTTCTTGCATGTTAGGTGCTGTGCAGTGTTTCTGACCAGCCCATGATTCCAGAGGAAAGTTGCAGAAGTGTGCAAGGACTTGTGACTTCTCTAATGCTGGATCTCTGTTCACTTTTCTAGAGTTCATGGGCTGAGAAAGAAAGCACACTGAAAAGATCAGAGAAGGTATGTGATTTTCCCCCAGACCCTGACTTACAGCACTGATTGGCTGTGTGCTCTAAGAAAGCCTATTTTAGTTAAGGCACCCCTCTTACCCAGGTATCAGTGTGGAAAGGAAGGAGCCCTAGCCCTAGATCAGGACAGTCATTTCAGATCCCTGTGGTTTACTTAAATGAAGGGGGAGGTCTCCCAGTTGGCTGGCAAATATCCCTCACTTAAAACAAAACAAAACAAAACAAAACAAAACAAAACAAAAAACCTCTCTTGCTCTCAACACATATCAAGTAAAGGAAAGTGTGCCTGAGAAGTGGTTACTGAGTGAAATGCTGGGCTGTAGCAAACACTGCACAGATGCAGGGTCGGACCAGGCAGGCCTGGCCCTAACCAGTGTGGCTGGTAACTGCTGGAATCCAGGTCTCCCCAGACTTAGAACAGGCTTTGAGAGCACATTGTCTCTCCCTCAGTGATGCTACTGTTTTGCAAATGAAGTCACTAACAGCACATAAAGGATAAAGGACCAAGGACAGCCATTTCACATTAATTACAAAAAGAGGCAGGGTCACTCCCTTAAAGAAGACCACAAAAATTTGATAAAATTTAAATAAACAAATAAATAAGGGGCAGAGGCCATGTATGACCCATGGTTCTAATTCACGATCCAGCAGGCATACCCAGCCCACAGGCATACATGCCCCTGAATAGTGATGAATGAGGACCAGCACAGAATTGTAAACTTACTTAAAACATTGTAAGAGTTTTGTTTTTTGCAATTTTTTGTAATTTAATTGCATGGTCTTTGTAGATGATAACATGTCTTGGTGTCAAAAGGTGTTGGACACACCTGAAAGTGTTAATTATTTACAAGAAATACAGGAGAACAAAAATGAAAAACCCTAAAAATTAGGGCAGGAAAGGGAATTATACATTTTATATCTTTGAACTTCTACTTGACCAGTAACATATAAACTTGGCCCAAATCTTCAGTCTTGGTACATTTCTAGTATAATAGTCAGCAAGGCGCTGGGCCTCAGGCCTCTGGAAGCTGCCTCATGCTCATGGTATAGCGGGATGCTCCATGTGAGGACTTTGCTGCTTATAGACACCTCTGCTGTGGGTCCTTGCTCTCACACCACTCACGTTGTCTAGGGAGGTCTGACACCCTCAGGACTGATGGACCTCCACTCCTCACCAGCTTGGGTCTCCTTAGTGCTTGAGCCTCCTTTCCTCAGACCCTGCAGAGAGAGTGCCTGCCACTTCTCTGACAGCAGGACACTATCTCTGATGGGCTGTAATCCAGCTAAGTCTATACAGCTGCCTTGCATTGCATTTTACACACACACACACACACACACACACACACACACACACACACACACGTGTATATACATATTTATGTCACCAAAGTAGAGTACAATACTCTGGTCTTTTTGACAGAATGTGTGACACTCTGTTGTTGTTGTTTTGTTTTTTAGCCAGGTCTCCCTGTAAGGTAGCCCCAGCTGGCCTGGAACTCCCTATGTAGACCAGGCTTGCCTCAATCTCACAGAGATCTACCTGCGTCCACTTCTGCCTCCTGAGTACTGGGATTAAAAGCGTGCACCACCAGCCCTTGTATGACATTCATGATGGAGCTTAGGAGATACCCTGATCTCATGGAGCCACTTAGGGACTCTCAGAAGAGCCACTGGCCTCTACCCCATGGGAACCATCTCTTCTGCTGGCTCAGAGCCCATTCCCTGCCAGGCCCCTTCATCCTTGCCCTTAGGTGGCTTTGAGCTGACAGTTCGTAGGATTTTGTACTTTGAGAGTAATGAAGTCAGTCCATTCATAGTTCCTTGTGGTGGTGCTGTTTTCCCAGAGAGACAAAGAGTTCCTGAAGGCCAAGTTCCTCCTGGTCTACCATGACTGCGTGCTCCCTCTTCTGCATTCTACACTGCTGCCCCCATTCAAGTGGGCAGAGGAAGAGACGGAGGCTGCGCGATGGAAAGCCATCGCTGACTTCCTCAAGCAAAACCAGGAGAACGAGGGCTCCTTGAAGGCTCTGCTGTCTCCAGATGGGGTCCACGAGCCTTTTGATCTCTCAGAGCAGACCTATGACTTCCTGGGTGAAATAAGAAAGAACACAGCCTGACGGGACTGTGGTCCTTCGCTTCCCACTGGACCCAGTGAGCTCTCCATGATGACTTGGATCAAATGACAGAATCTAAAGAAACAGACTTGCTAGAACTTAGGTCATACTCTTTTGTGTACAAAATATATTTTTAAAGAAATACCTAATAATTTGATTGTTTAAAACAATAAAATAAATTTTATAAGGACTATTATCTCTAAATTTGAATTTTTTTCAAAGCACTAGCTACTTAAGTGTCTAATTGAAAGTATGATGCCTATAAAAGCAAGGTTTTTAATCAAAAGCTAAATTTGTGATTATCCAAGAATGTGAAAATACAATCCACAGAATGAGAGTTGTTTCCAAGTCACATACCTGAAAAGAGATTAGTATCTGAGGGCTGGGGGTATAGCTCAGTGCTGGAGTGCTTATCTGGCCTGTGCAGGTCCTGGGCTCCATCCCAGCTCTTCACAAACAAGCAAACAGGGTTTAGTATGCAGAATGCATAAGTTGATAAATACTACTGATGTTTATCTTATTGTTCAATTTTAATTCAGTCTGACATTTGAATTTGATTTGCCCCCCAATTAAGCACAAATACAGAATTACTGTCTTTTCAAGTTGTTCCAATCAGTGCTCTGTCTAAAGAGAAAAAACGTACCCACGTTGAAGACTGGCACTGACGATGTTCAGAGAACAAAGCTAAGCAGGTCTCGTCACACTTCACATAAACTTGTGATTGCTTGTTAGGAGTACTGGTAGCATCTGGCATTGCTTGAGCGCCTACTGGGTGCCCAATGTGTCATCAGTTAATTTGGTTAATAATCCATAGCACTAGTTGGCATTAACTGAGTGCTTGACTGTGTTTGGTGGTGCTCTGGGTTAACTCAGTGGTCCTAATAGCTACTGTGGGAAGTGGGTTCTGGATTATCCTATATTACCGAGCAGGCCGAGCAGGTTATGTAACTTACATAAGGTCAGAGTTAGTCAATAGCATAGATGTTGTATGTGCCATCTATAATTTTCTACTGCCTAAGAGGTTCACCTCATCCATGCAAGTTTTTAAGAATTACAAGTGCAGACACGCAGTACACATATTACTGTCAGCCTACTGTCCCTTGCAGTGTGTTCTTTAAAAACAAATAGGGCTGGAGAGATGGCTCAGTGGTTAAGAGCACTGACTGCTTTTGCAGAGGACCCAGGTTCAATTCCCAGCACCCACACAGCAGCTAACAACCATCCGTAACTCCAGTTCCAGGGGAATCCAATGTCCTCTTCTGACTTCCACGCACTTTACATGACACCAGGTGCACTTTACATGCAGGCAATACACTCATATGCATAAAATTAAAATAAAATATTTTTAAAACAAACAAAAAATAATTATATGTGCAAAAAAATTTGAGAAAGATGTTTGAAGGAAAGTATGAAGAAAAAAATTTAACCTAAACTGTTAGAATCCCATCAAATATGTTTTTAACAGTGTGTTATCCTAAAAGAGGAATTTATTATTATTATACATCTGTCATGTTAAGGCACTTCTAGGCTACACCTTTGTTGTCCCTAAACCCTTAACCTAAACTTAGCTTTGTCTTTTATTAGTCAGTTTTCTGTTGCTATAACAAAAATATCTGAGACTGGGTAACTTAGGAAGTAAAGAGATTCAAGAGCATGGGCCCTGCCTTGGTTCCTTCAAGGCAGATGGCATCACAGTGCTGGGAGTTTGAGCAAGAGAGAGAAAGCACAAGGTAAGTCAGTAAGCCACAGAGCAGACAGGAGTTCTTTTAAAACCAGCCCACCTCTCAAGAACTAGCTCAGGGTCCATCACCTCTAGTAACCCAACCAACATCCACTAGGCTCCCGCTCTTAGAGGTCCCATCAACATTGCCACCCTAGAACTAAGCTTTCAATTTGTAAAATCTGGGGAGACATGATTCAGTTCTACCCAAACCATGGTGGGCCTTGTTCTCAGAAGTTAAGGTGTTATGGAGGGATTTTTGGCCAAAAGTATGGCATGGTGTTGGAAAAGCAAGTTCGCTGTGCCTCTCTGTGAGTCCTTGGCCCTGGGCGACCTGTGACAGGCTGCTGAAGACACTTCTGCCTGGCACTCCAGGACCCGTTACTCCAGGACACACTTCCTAGGTGGGACCTCTCCTCACGGCCTCTCAGCTGCTGCAGGCTGGAGCGCCTGCCTCTTCGAGTGTCACAGGGACTTGGTTCTGGCCTGTCACTGAGCTGCTTCCTCTCAGTCCCCTGAAGTCCTGCTTTTGAAAGAACCTGAGACCATATCACTTCCCACTGTGAGAACTGAGTTTTCTGTAGAATCTCTCATTTCTAAGTTCCACTTTTAATTTTCTTAACCATTTGGCTTATTCTTGGCCTGAAGTCAAGGGTGGGGCTCTTGGATGAAAGTAAAGGTGGGTGTGGTCCTCTCAACGTACAGCACCAAGGAAGAGATCCACTTCCAGAATGTGTCTAGGCTGCCTGTCTCGCTCATTTGCAAGGGTGTCAGGAATTGAAGACTGTGGACGGCATCATAGTTTCTAACACATGAGAAAAGTATAGAGAAAAAATAGCGTGGGTGATGCTGGGCCAGAAAGGGAGGGACAAGGGCAGTCACCCTGAGAGAGCGGACAGCACCACAGCATGGGTACCTCTGCATGAGAAACTCTACTTTCCCTCCAGTCAGTGGAATCTTGTTTTTTTCAGCAAAACATCTCTGACTTTTTAAACACCACCTTTTAGCTTCCAAAACAGGAAGGGGTTGTCAAGGATCCAAAAACATCCTGGAAACAGTCCTGGAGCAGGACTTGGCAGCGCATTGAGTTAATCCAGTCGGGGGAGAGCAGCGGTGATGGTGCTGTGAAGACAGCAGGCCTGGGCTTATGCAGTCCTCTTCATGTGGCACCCACCTGGGAGGCCCCCCATATCACAGCTAGGTAAACTAAATCACAAGGCTCAGCCTCCCAGCTGCTATATATTTATGTGTGTGTGTGTGTGTGTGTGTGAGAGAGAGAGAGAGAGAGTGTGTGTGTGTGTATGTATATGTGTACGTATGTATATATAAAGGATTTTAAATTATGTGTATGCAAACATATGTGTGTGTGCCCTCAAAGGCCAGTCGAGGATATCAGAGTCCCTGGAGCTGGAGTTACAGGCAGCTGTGGGCTATCAGGTGTGAGTGTTGGGAACTAAATTCGGTCCTCTGCAAGAGTAGCAAGTACTCTTAAAAGCCGAGTCATCTCTAGTCCGATCCCTCCTGGCCTCTTACTACTGCTTTAAAAAATAATATCTTCTTCTGGGGCTGGAGAGATGGCTCAGCTGTTAAGAACACTGGTTGTTCTTGCAGAAGACCCAGGTTCAAATGCCAGCACCCACATGGCAGCTAACAACTGCCTGAAACTCCAGTTCCAGGGGATCTGACACCCTCTTCTGACCTCCATAGGCATTGCGCAACATGGGCACACTTACCTACATGCAGGCAATACACGCATACACATCAAAATAATAACTTTTTTTTGAGGTATTTACTTTTTTTTCTTGTTTTCTTTTTTTTTTTAATTAGAAGAAGCATTTCATTACAACAGCATTAACCTATTCAATAACGTTTTTCTGAGCTAGGGTACATCTCTTTCAAAATTGGCTGTACATTTTTAGGTTTACAGATGAATTATTGCACTTGTACAATCTTTTATGCATTATAAACTCTATAAGACATAAAATTAAATGAGGTTTT